AACCATGTCAACGCTAACTCTTGGTAAATTCCTGGAGTCTGCTTTGATAAACGCAACTTCCATTTTTATTAAATGTAAAAAAACACAATAAATATTCCCATAAAATAATATTTACTTTAACAACCATAACCTCAATGAAGTTGTCATAACAGGAGTGACGTCACTAAACGCTGATTGGTGTTTTAAAATACGTTACGTTTCAAGTATTTTTAATTCGTAATAATTGTTAAAAAACAACATTATGTAAAATAAAAACGTTGCAGTGGCATTTCTTTTATATTTTTTTAACACTTTAATCATAAAATTTTCATAAATATTATATATGCATCTTCCCTATTAGCTTATTTCCAAAATTAAAAACTTCCGATGTCATAATTAAAATAAAACCATTATAAAACTCGTTTGGATATTATAAAGTTGTTTTTTATAAATAAAAATATATTTCATATCATCACTCTTTCGCTTTTTAAATCCCTTCCGCGCCACCGCTCTTCACACCGCCACAATTTTCACGGCTGGATGCGTGGTATTACGAATTACAAAAAAACAATCATTGAACATTGTCATTCATGCGCCCTTCAATACCCGAAACTTTTCATGAATTTTAAGTTCTTAGAACACCCCATACTTTCAGAATCTTTTATAAATGATTAATATCATGGGTATAGATAAAGTCTTGTAAGCAACTGTCATAACTAGGTGTTAAAACACTCATGTGATACTATTACACAAACCCACACTCGTCCTCTCATTATACAACAGTTGCATAAATATTTCCAGACATTTCCGCTTGTACCTACTTATTTTCACAAATACACAAATCTTCGTTATATAAAAACCTAAGGTTTTTAGTTGTACCCGGTACGGATTTATATACAAGAGGAGTTCTAATTTCGAAATTATTGAAATTTTCACAAATACACAAATCTTCGTTTTATAAAACCTTCAGGTTTTTAGTTGTACCCGGTACGGATTTATATACAAGAAGAGTTGAAATTTCGAAATTATTTAAAATTTCATAAATACACAAATCTTCGTTACATAAAAACTTCAGGTTTTTAGTTGTACCCGGTACGGATTTATATACAAGAGGAGTTCGAAATTATTTAACCTCCGCAAATCACAAAATAATCATATGACTGCGATATTGAACTCTTATGTAAGTACATATAATGAAATTGTAAAGATTTGGATTTATAATTTATATTCAAAAACGTGACGTTATTATTCGTATTACTTAATTTAATTAGAATATGAAAATGATGACTTGAAAATTAAAACCTGTGGAAAATTTACTACAATAATTTTGATACGATGCATGGAAAATTATCCTGCTTATGTTCTAGCTAGAAAATAAACCTTTTTTTTCCTTGTCCTTATATTAATTCGCTATATCCTACCTCTCGTGATGCGGAAAACAGACAAGAAGTTATAGGGCTTTTCTTACAACAATTTTACATCAAAAGTGAGGTAGGTAAACACGTAGTAATTAACTAATTATGCTATTATCCAATAAAAACAAACATTTGTATACGTAGGTATGAAACAGTATGCACATTCGTATCGTAGCTATGCAGACAAGTGTTTGCGAAGCTGCCTATGAATTTCACGATGGTTTATGATACGGTGTTTGCATTGGAGTGAGGGAGAAATAAAGACGTTGGTAAACATACCCGTGGAACAAAACTTCTATATTTCAACCAGAATATGAGTTTCGAATGGTGACATAAATGTAAATAATGCAGTTTGAGTTCGCTTATTATCGCTATCTCGAGGAGTAGATTTGCGAACTGATGGCGTACTTTTTCACCCACAGATTTTTCAACATTTATAAGCAACAGCTTCAACTGAATAAACTATTTAGAATTTAAATAAAAGTCGTAAATCATAATATTCGTCCCTTGTAATATGAATTACCGTAACCGCCAAAAGCTAGTTTTTCAGGAGAGGCAAAAAAGTAATTTGAAGATTAGAAAAGTGTTATAATTTTATATATACTTATCGTAAATTATGTTTATAGCAATTATCTTATATTCTTTTAGATAAACGAGATCTGAAAAACTTACTTATTTATAGTTTAGAAAAAAGCATGGCGCTTATGTTATTTTTTTCTCATAAAAGTGTGATTACACTAAGCTTTACTAAGAACAGAACAGTATAAGGTTAGGATAAAAACCTAAGAAAAATTAAAGTAATGCACACCGTTTTAGAAATATGGAGTTACGTTACTAAATAGTTATAGTGTATAGTAACAGTTAAAGACTTTCAACCATATTTACTTGTAATAAAGTCCAAAATATAATAAACTAGTGGTCTGCCTTCGCTTCGCTTCGCTTCGCTTCGGTGTAGAGCTGTAGTGTAGACTATAGTGTTTGATCTCAAGCTTGCAATAAACACAATGAATTTCTTTACATAATTATAAACCTTCCATGAAAAAATATTTGTTGCGTAGTTTAGGACCCGTTGTACCGAATGCACAATTTTTTTTAAACGTTCAAATCTGAGGAACTAATGGTCCAATTCGAAAAAATAGGTTTTTGTTAGATAGTGCATTTATTGAGGAAGGCTTAAGGCTATATAATATTATGCTGCGGCCAGTAAGAGTTGAATATCGATATAAAATATTGCAAAAACGGGTAAAAATATTAAAATTGGGAGATTCCGTTGCGTGCGCTGCAATAATGATTACAGTTATACAAAAATCATACATGACGGAATTGTTCCCCTTTAAAAGTTCTATAAAAAAAGAGACAGCATATGCCCATCTTTTATGTTTGACCCACTATAACCTTTTTCCTCAAATTAAAGCGGGTAAAACCGCAGGGGACCTTTAGTTGTGACATAACTGTAATAGTTAGACATGATATCGCTGACATTTTTGTTAATATTTATGTCCTCTATAAAACTTTAGTACATCACTTTTCTCTATTATTAATTTTTAATCATTTTAGTAAACCAAATAAAAATACATTTAAATCCACTTCAATTAACTATTTACACAATGACTTCCGCAGCGTTAGCCATATAAGGTTATTTTTTGGTATTTTTCACACCCTGGGTTACATTATCGAATTTTGCATACGGAACCCTAACTTTTTGAAAATTCTCTATAGCCTATGTTCATCAGGGATAATGTAGAATTCTAAATGTGTAAGAATTTTTCTAATCAGTCGAGTAGTTTCGGAGCCTATTAAATACAAACAATCAAATGTTTCCTCTTTATAATATTAGTGTAGATTAGTTTTTTATTTCCAATTAAATTTAAATCGAAATATCTCATTAACTCAACTAAGACCCAATGGCATTGGCCGCTGCTAGTAGATTTTACACACTGGGTAGGAGCTTTAAAACACAATCGCAATTATCTGACATTTTAATAAACGAGAGATGGGGAGATACATACCACCCTTTCCCAAGGGAACGCAGACACCCTTTCGGTGGGTTATTTGGACCCACCAGAATTGTGCCTACCTCGTTGTTTTATATCGCCTACGGTTCGGTGCTTTCCCTGCGGTCACTTCCCGCCAATCGTGCGAAACCTAATTGGGTTTCACTAGTCCCTGCCCCTATTCAGCTGTCGTTACCCAGGCTGCCCAGGACGCTAGCCAAGCTCCGGCCGTTAGTTTTGGTCCGCGCCGACCGAAGCCGGTAACCTCCATCTCTGGAGGCCGTGCCCCTATCCACCAGCCGGGGGACACGTCCGATGGCAGACCAGCAAACTGCACACGCAGCTAGATAAACACCTAGCCGAGCATACACAGCTGCACGAAGGACAGTTCGGGTTTAGGTTAGGAATGTTTACCGAGAATGTAAATTATTATTTAGTTTAAATTGCAAAATGAAAATATGGTCTGGTTTTGGTTAACATAATCAAAAATGTTTTCAAAATATCGAAATTTTTATTACAGCAATCGATAGAGCATTTTTGCAGACGAACTGTATATATAACTCAATTTCGTAATTTTAGTGGTTATATTATTTCATATTTCAGGTACCGTTATGTTTCATTTCGTAACAAAAATATAGATGCCTCATTAAATTATGAGAGAAAAGAATTCTTATAATTATTAAGTAGAGTATTTTACTACTATGGGAAATATTATATTATACGACTAATCACACTAATCACACTAATATTATAAAGGAGAAAGTTTGTGAGTATGTGAGTGTGTATGTTTGTTACTTCTTCACGTCTAAACGGCTGGAGCGATTTTAATAAAATTTGGTATGGAGTTAGCTGACACCCTAGATTAACACATAGGCTACTTTTATCCCGAAAAAAATGTTAGGTTCCAGAGGGATTTCCAAGAAACTTAGTTAACGCAGACGAAGTCGCGGGCGACCTCTAGTTGTCTTATAAGCCGTCGTATCTTTGATTATTTATTTACCAACCGCGCATGGTTAAATATCGTGAATGAATAATAGTGGTATTTATAAATTTACAATGTGACAAATTATCTCACAATGTTTAGATTGTTCCTCCCCATTATCAGTTTTAATGTTCGTAGTAAACATTGAAATCTGTTATTAAATACATACTGTATTGACATCCAAAAAATTTATTATGAGAATTGTAACTATATATATTATTTAACTTTTTTACAGACACACATGGTGATGTGAATATGTATTGATACAGAAATTAGTAAATCAAGATTTCTGTAAATGAGATAATCATTTCCTTTTTTCAACTGTTCATTTTATACATTTTTGAAAAGCAAGATCGGGCTTTTGTGTACGAAAATGTAAATGTAAATAAATAACTTAAATCACGATTTTCTTACTCAGGATTGATTAACATTTCAGTAATAAAAATATCAACCATTGCATGATTAGACAAACAACTACAAAGTTGTACGTCTCTACCGAGAGCGAGAGAGAAACGCTGAATAGTGCCATTACACTACGAATTGGACAATGGACATAAAATTAGTTTCATCTGTAAAAACAAATCCTATGTAACAAATTCCCGAAACTGACTTCATAATTCGTGTTTCCAGCTAACATTGCGGTGGCTTCCACCGGTTACTCCATGGGATGGACGTCTCCTGTGAATGTGAAGCTAAACAACACGGCGGAGTCACCGCTCCCCGACTCCATCACTACAGACCAAGGCGCCTGGATCGGATCACTGCTCACAGTCGGTGCTATCTTTGGTGAGGCCAATGTCATCATCATCTTTTTTTTTCATACGAGGTGCAACAAATTACCCCACCCCACCTGATGTTTCTTGTAAGTGGAGTCCAGTCGCGAATATAGATGTTGCATTAGGTGTGTCGCTCCAGCTATTCTCACCTTGTAGGCCTGAGCCCAATCCCCTGCCCCGCTGAGCCCTGGAGCCCCTTCTCACCAACAGAAACACAGCACCATCAAAAGGTAGTGTTATTTTACTGTGGTCTTAAGGTTGGTAAGGTGGAGGTTGCTTCCCCAGACGGGCGCTCCAATTCGAGCGGAAATCCGCTGTGCCCTACCTCTCTAATTCAAAGAACACTTACAGATAACAGACAGATATGTTTGGGATAATCTAAGTTAAGCTCAATTAGTTCGGCTGTCTTTCTTGGTTCCTTCAACTCTGTCTATTGTGCTGCCCTCCTTCTTTCTCTTCACATCAACCTGCTGCTCTTCTGGCTGCATCATCAACGGCATCAACGAGAATAGTTGGGTCAGCTAGTTACATATAAAAATATATTGATACTAATAATGACTGCGTTTGTTAACTGAAAAGCAAAGTTTTTTAATTCTTCGTTAATAAACATTTTCTGATGAGTAAATAATTCATGGGGAGATCGATGGGGCAAGTGGTTAGCGGAAGAATGAGTTGGAGGGTTTATTAAAGAATCTAATCTTACTTTTAATAAACACGACATGGTTTGATACCCAGGTCCTTTCATCGGTGGGTTAGCAGCGTCAAAGATCGGCAGGAAATGGGGCCTCCTAAGCTCGTCGATTCCTCTCTTCCTGGGCTGGATCCTGGTGGCGGCGGCCACCAACGTGGGCCTCATATACGGCGGCAGGATCTGCTGGGGCGTCGCTGTGGGCATGATCTTCGCCATTTCACCCATGTACTGCGCTGAAATCGCTACGGTAAGATTGCTGATACTCAAAGACAGCTTGAAGAACTATACTTACTTATTTGTCAATAATGTTATTAGCCAATAATAACTAGAGCTCAGATCAAACACTTTTTTATTTGACCTAAATACGTATACGGTAGTCGTACTTCAAAAAATTGGGACTCTAATCGATTTATATTTTCATGGATGTTATATTGTTTTGGGTATGACGAGTCCATGCAGCGTGCTGGACTCTTTCCTCTAGGCATATATTATGGTGGAGAGGAGCTCCATGGCGAAAGTACTTAGCGTGTTCGATCTGCAATCGTTAAAGTTAATCAACTGTCGCAATGACCGCGGTCTAAGGATGGATGTAATGTTCTCATGCACCTCGTTGTTTCGAAACGAACGTTAAGCCGTTGGTTCGTGCCGGCTGCATCAACAATAGTTAGCACCCACCAATTCGTAATGGGCGCACGTGATGATCATAGCCCAATCTCCTTTTTCCATCCATAGACAAGGCCTATGATCCAGCAGTGGAGACATTAATAGGCTGATCGTGGTATTGTTTTCGGCAGGACGAGTCCCGCGGCGCGCTAGGTTCTTTCCTCCAATCGTTTATCACGGTGGGCTTCCTGCTGGTGTACGGTATCGGGCCGTTCGTCTCGTACTCTGCGGTGGCGTACGTGGGCGTGGCCTTCGTGGCGGTCTTCGCAATCAGCTTCTTCTTCATGCCGGAGACGCCGACCTACCACTTGACCAAAAGTGAGTGGTTTATTTAATGGAGTACTTACTGCTTATGTTTTACACGCACACCAATCATTTTGTTTAATACCTTCTAAAGTAAAAAATTAAAATTCAGTCTTCTTATTAGTATTAGTTTTTATATTTTGAATAAGCACTGTTTTGGTTTTAATCAGGATTTTTCAATTGTCTTAATAGCATAATGTTATTCGTAGATAACCGCGAGGCTGCAGCAGAGTGTCTTGCAGTAATTAGAGGCAGATCTCTGGGCGCGGTGCAGGAAGAACTTGACAAGATTGAAGCTGACGTGAAGGCGGCCCAAGCTAAGACTGCTACTGTAAGTAAACATTCCTAAAGACATTAATGTCCCCACAACTCATTTCATGACAGCTGCGAAGAGAAGAAATGAAAAAGAACTTTTAACCATCATATTTTAGTTTTAAACTGATAAGAAGAATGGGTGTAAGAAACTCATCAGCATTTCACATAAAATCATGTCGCTACCAATACTTAGCTTAAAAGTAGGTCAAGTCCCGATCCTGTAAACGAAAGGAGAACAACCATTTTGGTACTGATCTTGTACAAACATATTTTTTTGATATTCTGCTTAACATATGAAGGTAATATAAGATAAAAAGTATTCTTTTAGCTAGTGGTGAAACACAAAAATAGTATAAAACCTTTAACGAACCTTTAAGGAACGTAGTGTTTAGCGTATAAAGGAATGTAGTTTACTATTATATTCGAAACAATCGATTCCAATAATCATGAGTTGCATGTTTAATTGAATAATGCTCAAATAACTAATGTTTTTATCGTTAATAAATTTTAAGAAAAGAATCCCGTAAAATTTGAGTTTTTTAACTCCAAATATCAGACAAAATATTATATTATTAATAAAATATAACATCGATTACCTATTCGATTTCAGTCACGTAACTAACGTCACAAGAAAACTTATAATGCTAGTGTCTGTCAGTGGTCTGTCATTATGACATTGGCAATTGCAATTGTCATTTCACTTGCGATGCAATTTCTTTTTTTTGTTTTTAGCGATGCTTTCTTTGGCCGTATACAGAAAGAAAGCTGGAAGCCTATCCTTACCTGTAACAGTTACATAAAGGAAGCAGATGGAAGCCTAGTTGTTCATTAATTTCAAAGGGCGGTGCCAGCACTGACCAGTGCGTATCGGCACTTGTCGGCGACGTTCGGCGCTTATCGGCTCTGGTCCATAGAAATGCCTGCCCGGTTAGGACCGGTAAGGTGGTCGGCATCCAGCTTTCTTTCTGTATACGGTTTTAGATTTTGTGATTTGTGCTTTTTTTTCTACGATTTTGTTATAGACGACTCGATTTTTGTAATAATTTCTGATGAATTATTAAAAATATAAACAGTTTCACTCTCCATCTGGTCAACCATCCTTATGTGGATTGTGTCAACATAGTAGCGTGCTTGCTATTATTTAATATTTTTGACTGCTATGCATTTGTAGACATTAACTTGTTCCAAAATTAGTTAAAAAATTGTGTCTATTGTGTAATTTACACCAGAAAACCCGTTTTTATACTTAATTACTTTTGATTTTTAATTAAATTTAAATTGAAATATCTCATTAAACCAATTTGCTATCGAATTCAATTAAAGACTGGCAGTAAACATTAACAATATGCTTAACAATGGTATATATTTTGATCCTATACTAAGAACTTGGTATTTGTACCAACCCCCGTACAAAGTGGTTGTTCTCCTTTAGGTGTTTGTGGGATCCCTCCATGTCCACCTGATTGTATCTGCGTATAGTGGCGCTCTCTTCTAACTTCACAACCGCATTAATATTTGCATCGCTTTATAGACATAATTATGTCGAAGTCCCTATATTTATTCTCTTCTTTTCTTACTAGATCGCTGACGTGTTCCGGGGCAGCAACTTTAAGGCATTCTACATATCGTGCGCGCTGGTGTTCTTCCAGCAGTTCTCTGGCATCAACGCGGTGCTCTTCTACATGACCGATATCTTCCAGGCGGCTGGGTCATCACTTGACTCGTCCATCGCGACCATCATCATCGGGGCTGTGCAGGTAAACGTGCAGGACTCTTGGTACTTATTGACATCCTTTTTGAGGAATCGAAAAAATGATCTTTAAATTGGTGAAACAAGCATAAAGTCCTGTAATTACCACCCATCTATCATTTAATAGTTGAAAATTAATCAATTATAAATAACTCATTGACGAGAAAGAGTTAAAGTGAAACAATTACCCTCTGGATTAACTTTGTGAATGTTTTGTAAATAAGGGGAATTATTACGTTTGTTTATCGCATGGTTGATAGTAAGATCATATTCTGAAGAAAGTATTTAATGTATATTTTATGTGCAGTTGGTTGCATCGTGCATCACACCGTTCGTGGTAGATCGACTCGGCAGGCGGATACTGCTTCTCATCTCCAGCTGCGGCACCGCTATAGGCCTGGTGAGTCGCTTGCACCACGTTTCACACTGAGCATGACATCAAAATTTTTATCATGAAAATTCTTTACTTTTACCATGTACTACAGATTTTAGTATTAATATTGTTATTGTCTTTGGGACTTCTATTCTAATGTGGGTGCATGTGTGAGGAGCTCGATGGCGCAAGGGTTTAGCGCGTCCGGCTGCGATCGTTGAAGTTAAGCAACTTTCCCAGTGGTTGGTTATTGGATGGGTGACAAACTTACTATCTCGAGCTCCTCCGTGCTTTGGAAGGCACGTTAAGCCGTTGGTCCCAGCTGCATCTGCAGTCGTTAGCACCCAAATCAAATCCGCAATGGGCCCACGTGGGCTCGGCCTTATCTCCCTTTTTCATTGATAGGGGAGACCTGTGCCCCAGCAGTGGAGATATTAATAGGTTAATAATGTTTCTAATGTGGATTACTCACAGCTACTTTCTCGTGGCAGGGTCTACTAGGCATGTACTTCCTGCTGGCGGCGCAGAACAGCCCGGTGGTAGAGAGCATGGGATTCGTGCCCATCCTATCGCTGGTGGTGTTTATAGTGACGTACTGCTGGGGCCTGGGCCCGCTGCCCTGGGCCGTCATGAGCGAGCTGCTGCCCATCGAGGTTAAAGCCATTGCCTCGCCGCTGGCCACAGCCTTCTGCTGGCTGCTGTCCTTCCTCATCACTAGGTGAGACCTTGTTACAAACGCCTATACCCCTGGAAATTGGCCGTTGCTGGTATGTTCTGTTTACTTTAAGAATGCATTATCAATAAAAGTTTTTATAGAAGACCGTGTTAAAAGTCATTGTCTGAAATCAGTCATCTGAAATGAGCCATCCGGCATTTGAATAGCACCGCCTTTACTTGGCTGCCATAGAATGATTAGTTTCGCTTTTTGGCTCCCATGCAATGCCGGGATCCCATGTTTTTTTCCACTTGCCACCCATTAGAGCCGCAACACGTCGCAATGATGAACAAATTAAAACAAGTAATTTAATAGTGTTTACTTACCATTTATTGGCTTCTTTTGAACTATTCAAATTATTAAGTGGTTATTTTAAATCATACTGTAGTTTATGATACTGGTTAATTTTATGAATTTTCTTTCAGATACTTTTTATTAATTCAAAGAGCAAGCTTATTATATTTCAAAATTATTTGGAGTTAACTAGGTGATATTGGTGACAGTGAGCATTGTATAAAATTGTTGAAACCTCGAAATTCTAGTTTTTGTTTAAAGTAGATATTATTACTACTATACTGCATTATCATAGCTACGAGTTTCCTCATACGCGTGAATGTAACTAAATCGGTCACAACTTGTCACAGGTATTTTAGCTCAATCGCTGAGGCGGTGGGCATGTATACCGCTTTCTGGATATTCGGCGTGTGCTGTGTTGGTGCATTCTTCTTCACGCTGTTCATTGTACCCGAGACGAAAGGCAAAAGCTTCACGGAAATCCAGGATATGCTCGCTGGAAGGTACGTGTAGACACGTTTTGAAGTCAATCTGCAAACAGTTTCTAGCCAATGTTTTTGATTGTGTAATATTTTTAAGACACATATATTTATACAACAATTTAAAAATCATCTGTTACTTAATAAATTATTAGTGTGTAAACTTACTTTTCGTAATTTTCAATCTAAGTTCATGTTCTACTATCTCTACTTATCCAATCAACAAAAGCATTAATTTACCCTTAAATTTAGAGAGAAATAATGAAAACCAAAATTCATCAAAATCTGTTCAGCAGTTTAATTATGAAAGCATAACAGCTTCATATAGCAGATTCATGGTATCCAAGCCATGATATCGGTGCTTATATATTATTATAATAATTAAAATGAACTTAAATATACAAGTTATCTTTTTCCTTTCAGAACCCCCAAATCAGAAAAAGCCTAAACCGGATATCCTAGAAGAATGAATATTGACACTATTTATTTATATGTAAAGACAATTATTGCTTGTTATTCGCTAAATATTTTGTTACCATCAGTGTTTTCGCGTCCACCTTTTATGTAAGCGAAATATAATTTATTTATTGTAAAAACACATTTCAGTAGGTAAATTGAAATATTTAATTATCACTTAGTAATTTGTGTGTTCCGTATTTTTAAAAAAAATATTGTTTTTAATAATTTCTTGAATTAATTAAAAACTTATGTTTACGATTAGTGAAAGTTTAATAATTTCATAAATATTTATTAAAATAATAATTGTAAAATTAATATTGTAGATTTTGATTAGATTATATATACCTCGATCAAGAATAAAAAATCAGCAAACTGTAAAAGCATTTCAAAAAAAGTTATACGATTACCTTATTAGACAATGTTTTTATTCTATTGATCCTATCTGAACAACCTGCTCATATTTATTCGATATTGTTTTAATTTAATAAAATAGAATTCAATATATTACATAAACACAGAATAATGACATCAAAAATGTTATTATAATTATTACCTACTTAATAATACTGGCATGACGATCTGATTTTTTATGGAATTTAAATTGTTAATTCATTCATTTTATTTTAAAGGCCCTCTAACAATTTGCTGTGACCGTAAAGGGCGACTAAGTTTGAAAGTACTCATATTGTAATTTTTCAGCTAATGTTGCAATTAACGATTGCCTAAGAACTATTGAAAATTACTTTGGTTTAGAGAGCAGTACATTAAAATCGAAGCAAAACTAAAACAAATTTTATGAACGCCTAAAATGGCATTAATTGCATGGTATTAAGGGTTTTATAAGTAGGTAATAATTAAATATTCTGAGGTATATATGATAATATTGTAGTTTTATGTTTCTGCATTTATACATATAATATAATATATATTTGCCAAACAAAAGTTTACGACTGACTTATTAGAATGCCGATAGACAGACAGACAGAGGCAGCGGGCGGTGACTTTGTTTTATAAAGTTTTATGACATGATGCTATATATTAAATGTAACTAACCAAATCAATAATTAATATTACGAATTTACTTTGTTACTAACTAACCAACTACTGAATAAATAATGCATATTTTATGAGTTTTAATATGATAAAAAGGAATAATTGCATGCAACCAAAGATTTGTATTTTTTAGCTTTGCACATTCTTTGATTACCTAATTCCAAAATTATTTGATAAGTTCCATAATTTAGTTTAATCACTTAGCATTTAAGACTACCATCATTTGTCATCAAAAAAGTACAAGTTCAAAGTTCATACATGGTGCTGCTGCTGTGCATATTGTGATACGTTTATTGTTACTCTTTGTAAATACTTATTTTAAGGTGGTGAATGTAGTGTTAAGTTGACAGACATATGAAACTAAACAAAATTTTAGCAGATAGGTCTAAAATTTCTTCTCTCTTGTTTTCTCTGTGTCCTTTTTTACAACTATAAATATTGTACTCACCGTAAATTAAATACTTAATACCTAACGGTTGGTATGTAAAATCCTTGCATTAATCATAAATAATCATGAATTGTTGCTTCAGAAGCGAATTGCGAGATTTTGCCCTGTTACAACGTAATACGAAAAAAAGTAAGAACTTTATGCATACCTAATTGTGTACCTATCATATAATCACCCTTGTTTGTAATTGTAACCGCTGTTTGTAATTACGAACGCAATGAACTATTGATTTCATTTGATTTGAACAATGCATTATGTCAAGGAAAACACGGTTACATTCTACTTGATATATTTTTTATCAATTAATAAATATTTTTAAATAAATGTGTTTTGTTTTGTTCTAAAAAATTCCTTCAATATTAAACATAAATCGCTATTCATCCCTCTTTTGTTGTATACTATTAGTTTTCAGTACATACGCTAATGTACTCTGTGATTAGTGTTTTTTTTTCACTATTAGTGTCAAGTTCCTAGGTAATAAGTAACTCATGGCAGCAACAATGAATTTAAGTATCTCGGATAAAGTTAACATTCGTCGTTAATATTTCAAACATGTCCAGACTTTTATAGTTATGTCCAGATTCTGTCGGCTTTCTTCTAGGATATATATTTAGTACATAAGTACTTATATGCTTAATGAAAATAACAGATATATTCAATCAGCATTTATATAACCAATCCGCAATCCGCGCACTGTTAGAATTTTGTGAGTAAAATGTCCGGACTTTGAGATAAAGTCTGGATTTATGTAAGGATTTTTATAATTAGTGGTAATCCTAATAGAGGATTGTTTGCTTATTATCCCGGGTTTTTTTATGATTGCGATTGCGACCCGAGTGTTAATTTAAGGATCCTTTATAATGCGCATAAGACCCAACGCAGGCGGCGCAGCCGGACGGGGCGGCCTTTTTGTCCGCGAGTTCTATAGATAGGTACCGGAAAGCAGTGCTTCTTGTTGTCCGCAAGTGTGCGATGGCATTATTACGCGTTCGGTCTCCGATCATGGAAGAATAAAAAGATAAACAACTTTCGCTACAGCCGGTCATTGGATAGGTGATCCATTTTACAATCTCGTACATTTGCTGTCGTAGCTAGCGCGTTGGTTCTGCAATCATGGAAGATAAGCAACTTTCGCAACAACCTGTCACTGGACAGGTGAACTAAAATTTAACTACCTATCTCGTTCTCGTCAAAAAATTAGTTTATTGTTGTCGTTAGCAGCCTCCAATCCGCACTGGGCGGGCATGGTGGCTCATGGTCCATGTTATCCATAAGAAAGGCCTGTCTCCCAGCAGTAGAGGCATTAATTTATTTATTTGTATTATTAAGTAGTAGATGCACCCAATAACAAAATTAACACAGTACTAGAATACATTACTTGAGCAAATATAAAGATCACCGAAGGTAGTGCGAAAACTGCGAATGGATATCGCCGACGAAGGATGCGACGCCGAACGTATTGAAACAGCGATTGCAAAGGAACAAAATAAAATTTTTTAATAAGTTAAGAAACTTTCGCCACAGCCAGTCACTGGATAGGTGCCTTTAAAAATTGTAGTATCTCGTACATTTGCTGTCTACTACGCATTCGGTCTGCGATCATAAAAGTTAATCAACTTTTGTAACAGCGGTCTTCGGATAGTGACCTACAATTTTAGAATTTCATGCATTTATCTCGTTCGGTCTATGATCATGGAAACTAAGCAACTTTCGCAACTGCTGGTTATTGGATCGCTAATCGAAAATTTTAGTACCTCTTGCATTTTCTGTCTTTGTTAACGCTTTTGTTCTGTTATCATGGAAGTTAAGATATTTTACGCAACCGCCGGTCATTGAATATGTAACCCAAAATTTTACTATCTCGTGCATATTTACCATTAACAGCTGATGGCACATCGTTAAGCGCTTTCGGTCTGTAATCATGGAAGTTAAGCAGCTTTCGCAACAGCTGGTCTTGGGATGGGTGACCCACAATTTAACTTTCTCGTGCATTTTTGTCATTAGATGGCATAATAGCCAATGGTTGACGCGTTCGGTCTACCATCATGGAAGTCAAGCAACTTTCGCAACTGCCGGTCATATTATTATCTCGTGCATTTGCTATGGTAAACAGCTAATGGCGAATCATGGAAGTTCAGCACCTTTCGCAACATGACACCTGTCATTTGATGGTGGACCCATTTTATTATCTAGTGCATTTTCTATCGTAAGCAGTTAATTACGAATCATGGAATTTAAGCAACTTTCGCAACAGCTGGTCTTAGGCTAGGTAACCCAAAATTTTACTTTCTCATGCATTTGCTGTCATTAGATGACACTGTAGCCAATGGTTGACGCATTTGGTCTACGATCATGGAAGATAAACAACATTCGCAACTGCCGGTCATTTGATAGGTGACCCATTTTACTATCTCGTGCATTTGCTATCGTAAGCGGCTAGAATATAAATGAATCATGGAAGATAAACAACTTTCGCAACAGCCGGTCATTGGATAGGTGACCCATTACTATCTCGTGCAATTGCTTTCATAAGCAGTTAATGGCGAATCATGGAAAATAAACAACTTTCGCAACAGCCGGTCATTGGATAATTGACCCATTTTTCTATCTCGTGCATTTGCTATCGTAAGCAGCTAAAGGCAAATCATGGAACATAAGCAATTTTCGCAACAGTCAGTCATTATATATGTGACCCATTTTACTATCACGTGCATTTACTGTCGTAAGCAGCAAATGGCGAATCATCGAAGATAATCAACTTTCGCAACAGTCGGGCATGGGATAATAGACCCATTTTTCCATCTCGTTCATTTGCTATAGTAAGCAGCTAATGGCGAATCATAGAAGTTCAGCACCTTTCGCAACAGCCTGTCATTTGATGGTTGACCCATTTTATTATTTACTGTCGTAGTTAGCGCGTTCATTCTACGATCATGGAAGTTAAGCAACTTAAGCAACAGCAGGTCATTGGAATGGTGACCAAAACTTTAGTATCTCGCGCATATGCTGTCGTAAGCAACTGATGGCGCAGTGGTTAGCGCGTTCAGTCTGCGATCATGGAAGATGAAAATGAAAATGATTTATTACTTTACCATACATTTGGTTACATAAATAAAGGTAGGCTCTTTTTTTTAATTGCAAAGACACCTGTACCAAAAAGAACCACTCTTCCATAGCATACGTTACATTATGGTAAGGTCATTAACTATATTAAGATTAAGACAAGGAATTAAATATAATAAAGCGGGAGTTACACCACAGAGCTAGTTAAAGTGAAATTTTACTAAGAATGTGTGAATGACATGGAAATTTACATTATAACAAGTTGTGCAACTCACGCTAATCAAAGCACATCTTAATTACATGAAAATACAATTTAAACAATTTAATTAAGCGGAGTGTTTGTGCATGTGTGTGTGTGTGCGTGTATGTGTGTGTAAGCGTGTGTGTGTTTATGTGTGTGTGTTTGTGCATATAAGGCATATATATACTGTATTTTGTAAGTTTCTTAATACTTATAAAATAAAATTGTTTTTTATTATACATAGATTTATGTACCTATATAAAAATCGGAT